AAAACTGGCCATTAAGGCTTTCGAATTTAGTTGTTCTAGTGTATATTTAAAATTGAAGGCATATACACTTTGTAGTAAGTACTACGTTGTAGTTTGGTGTCAAGGTCACTAGATGTAAAATACAAAAGTAACAATAAAGCTGTATAAGAAAACAAAGGAATAAAAATGGACAACTTCCATAATCATTCTTAAAAGTTAAAATCTTAATTCCGCCCTTTATATTTCAGGAAATTATCGATTCCCCATTCAAAATTATGCAAAGTACCGCCTTCACTACCGCCGACTGTAGACCATTCCATCAGTTAATTACCCCATTAGAAAAATCAAACTGTCCTTTCCCATGTCTTAAACTTGTGTCCTCTCGTCCTATTGGCTGTACAGCATAAAGAAATCAGAGGCCTTCATCGTTTAGATCTCCTAGATAAACTTTTAAATTTCAACAAGATAACTTCTTACCTTTCTACTCTCACGAAAAGATAACTTTAGAAATATTTTCCATCCTCAGAATCATTCTACCAGCCTTCCTCTGAGCCCTTTCTAACAAGCCAATACATTCTTTTTTAGATAAGGAAACTAAACCCATCCATAGTATTGTAAATGAGGCAAACTAATAATTTTTGTAAACAATAATTACCTCTTTTGACTTGTAATAAATAAAATGCACCATAAAATTCCATTAGATTTGCTATTAGCAACTTAGTGACTTATCCTCCACTATACCAAGATGTTTTTCTACGGTCACACTATTTAATAGGTTCACATCTACATTAAACGTGTGATTTAAATAATAACCTAACATTATCTTGCACACTATAATTAAAGGCCATTTCTGTTAAATGTTTGTTCAACTAACCAATTGATTCAATTCATTATGTAGTATCTCAACATTCTAATTACCGTTAGAAATACCCAAGAGCCATCTACAACTTTACTAATTTACTCATGATGCCACTATCAATAACATTAATATAAATAAGAAAAAGCAAAGGCCCAAGTATTACTCTACTAGTAACAAGGCTCCTTTTTAACTGGCCTCCATTAAATAAAACATTTAGCTTTTCCTAATTCTACAATTCAATTTACTACTATTTCCCCAAACCCTACTATGTTTTGTGTGCTACCATATCAAAAAGTTTTTTTGAAAATCCACGTACACCAAGTCCACACCCTTTCCGTAATCCAGACAACATTTAAAATTCTCGAAAAAGTAATCGGATTAGTATGGGACAATTTCACTATAGTGAATCCGTGGTTATTTTCTTTTTATTATATTATATGTTACTAGCTGATTTTACAAAGCTTTTTTTTATTAGATTTTCTGGAATTTTTCCTTCTGTAAACAATTACGTAGTCTATAATGTTCAGAGCAATACTTATCTCACTATTTAAAAATATAGATCCATTTACCAATTATTCAATCTTCCAGCATATATATGCACTGTCTATTGACTTATCAAAAAGAATAGAGAAAGAGATAGAGGCTCACACATATGATCTTTGACCTTCATTAAATCTCCAGGAACATCATTGGCTGGTTCTGTTGCATTATTTATTTTCAACTTCTAAGTTTTCCTTTTACTACCAAGAGATTAATATCAAGTTAATTCCAATATTTCCCTTAGAATGGTGAGAGCTAGAAGTATTGCTAATGTCCTCTCTTGTGAAAAACATAAGAAAATATTTAAAAGCTCAGCCACCTCATAATATTAAAGAAAAATCTTGCCATCGAAATTCTTATCTGAACATTTTATTTACCCTTAGCATACTTAAAAACAATCTTTGCTGTTAGTTTAACAGTATCAGCCAACTATTTATCATACGCTCTTTCAAATTTTCTAATGTATTCTTTAATCAAATTCCTATCTTTTTACAAGTATAAACTTTTACAATTTAAATATTTTGTCCTTGATTTACCCCTTAATGTCTTTGATAAGCCTATTAGTCTTCATCTTTCTGGATGCTCTTTTTATTTTTTAAGTACGTGGCTATTTCTCCTACTTCCACTCTTGCAACCACATCCTCATTAATGCTTAACAATAAACGTAAACTGCAAGCCCGCTGGTGGGCTCCGTCATCAATTGATATAGAAAACCATCCCGAACCACTTCAAGAAACCTTTTACCTTTCACTACGTGAATCCGTACGATCACAAGCAATATGCCTAAAATTAACGTATGCCATACGTATTGCATAAGCATCCTTCTCAATAACAATTCTGATTACATTTTCAGTTTCTCACTGGCATTATCTGTATGTTCAAGAGACTTTCAGAATTTGCCAATTAAAACTTTTCTACCCTCGAAACTCCATTTTGCAAACCATAAAGAATACCATATTTTTGGTCTTTGTTCCCCAAAAGATGTATCCCACCCCTTATATAAAGAAACACCACACATATCTATTTTACAAAGTCTATCACTCTTAAATAACTAGATTCACAGAACACAATAAAAACTGTCCCATGTTTTCCACCATTTCAACTAAAAAACATAGTATATCTATTAAAAACACAGTAATTTTAAACAAAGAATCAAACATAAACAAACGAAAAATCAAGGAATCCACCTTAATTGAACAAAACAACCCGACTCTAAACCAACACCTTGAGGTGTCAAGATATCTCTTCTAAGTCGTGCAACAATATCCGGTCATGTGACCTCTTTGTTCCATACTGTATATATATCTGTGTCAGTGTAAACTACTTGTACCTGATGATGACAAAGCCTTGTCGAAACGTTGTACATTTGCTGTTATGTTAAACTTATATTAAAGTGTTTCTTCATTACCCATCCAAGCCGTCTCCAAGCATCATTAGTCTAAGTGGGTTCCTCGTCATCGAATAGGTATTAAACTAAGACAAACAGCTAATTATTTGCCGGAATTGTATTCGACCCACTTTTCTAGACAAGGATAACTGTTCTAAAGAATTTCAAATCTAAAGCACAAAGAATGCAGAAAATGATATCAAAAGGTAAACTTGAGGATCTATTGCATTCCACCTCTGTATATCTAACTAACATTGTTGTCTAGACATTTCTTCCCAATTAATACAACGTACTGATACGTAGGCTACAATGTAACCGGAAAACATTTTAAGCTTCAGTGAATACTTACTTTTCCATAGATAACGACGTCCACACTACCTCTGAGGATGATATACCATGATGTACCCTCATCACCTTGGTTAAACACTAGCAAAATTCAAACATATTTATACATTTTGTTGATTTTAGACAAACTATGTAAAATGCCAAACAAAAATAAAACTGCACTCAGTAAACACTTCTACATTTAATTACTACAGTATAGTTGGTACAAAGATCGAGAATAACATCTTTGTAACAGATAATAAATGATGCATTTGATTTTCTTCAATATCTCACGAAAAACAAACTTTAATATGTTGTTTTAATTTATTTTTAATATAGCTGTAAAATCAATATTCATGAGCATCTCTCTTACTTATATAAATGAAAAACTCGGACTAATTTCAATAGTTTATTATTTCTAGTCAAAGTTAAATGACACAGATATTGGATCAACCAGGGTACTTATACATATTAGTTTACTAAAGAATTGAAATTATTCAACTACTATAAATGTCTTTCGAAAAAAATATTGAAACAAAATTACTGCTATAACAATTTACTTGATTTTATTATATTCAATGAAAGTTCATTTTCTCATGTTGAAAGTTAAACAAACAATGACGTATTTCTTGATCAACGTGGTTATATTCTTTAGATAACCACAGCTAATGCTGTGTCACATATTGCCGAGTTTGGTGAATAAATTTAGCAATACTGGTGACGTTACTGAAATTATTCGCAAGTTTTATATTGTTAATTATTGTTTTTTTAATGTTATCAAAACATTCAATATCCCAATGCTAGCTATTCAGTTGTCAAAGCACTAGAGTGTGTTTGCCCATAACCAAAATTGACCTTGGAATGTAATATCTGTATAGCAAAAATCATGCACATTTGCAATCAATTAAGATTAATTCTATTTAAACAGTTAAGTTTTGAATCTGGACCATACCATTTTGAATCCAGTTAAACGTATTGTAAAAGAACAAAATATACATTATTCATCCTAAATAAACAACATATATATTATTGGTTTTAATTTAATTACTAAAATTTGTATTCAAGATTTTTGACCTCATAGCCCAACTTTCTATGGTAACTCATTTTTGATGTTTCCAAGATTGGAATAGTACCAGATTCTACCACTCATGTAAAAACAGAAAATCAAAAATCTGATATTACTAAATTTGTAAATGAGGTAATGTAGTATCCAATACTACCATGCTTATAAACAGGGTGATATACTATTAGGCAGCACCATACTTGTAAGCATGGCAAAAAAGTGCCTAATAAACATTGTATTACCACGCTTGTAAGCAGATCAACATAGTATCCAATGTACTATAATTTCAAGCAAGGTAACATTGTATCCAACACCATTTACAATAAGAGTAATAAAATATCAGATACCATCGTAATCACTGTAATGTAAAATTAATAAACAACAGCCAGCAATAAATGTAAATATTTGAGTCATAGCGTTGAAATTCACTGTTTAATCAAACATGTAGAGATCTTTCATTGCAGTTTCTTTATAAGTGAAGTTTAGTTGAGAACAAAACTCGGAAATAATATTGTTTTTCTCTAATACAAAAATGTATATTTTAGTTGCTGTAGTTTGTATGTAAGTATGTACAGAGTAGAATTAGCAGAACTGTAGACTTTTCTTTAAAAGACAAAATTAATTAACTCGTAAATTAACCGAAGTAAAGGCCCGAACTATTAAAAACGGTAGAGGAAGAGAGAAGATACTTTGTGTTAGGTCTAGTTCAGATATTTGTTTCAAAAATAGAAGCATTGTATGTTTGTAGAAGCCAGGCAGAGTTTGCATTATTTAATTAAGACCCGAATGAAAGCTTATACACTTGAAACATGAACATGGCATAGAAAAGTAATATAAAAAAGTGACGTATGATGAGCAGGAGCATGAATGAGAAATATTAGCAATAGGGAGATAGACACAATCCTTTCTCTACTGAGAGATTGTTTTATGTTCCATTGTCATATTCATGTAAGGAAAAACAAAATCTTTAGATGGTACGCTCTGACTGGAGAACAAAAGATTAATAATAATTGATGAAAATCAAATCATCAAGACAGTAATTAGCTCAAATACTTTACGCATGACTTATATGTAAAATATGTCACCGCCAAATTCTCTCATATGAAAAGTATTGATACTAGATAACTATGGAAAAGGTCTAAAGAGTTCAGTTTAAGTACATCACGAATTATATGACATTCCTTCAATGAGGCATATGCCTTTATATCACCGATTATGTAATATAAACTTCTTAAAGTATGGCTAAATATGTAATGAATTATACAATATCCACTTCAATAGGCACACGCACGTGTTTACATTATGGAATGCACAAAATAAATCTGGTGTGACATGTTTAACTAGCCATGTTGCAGCCCACAATAAATATCATAGATTGTAGATAAACTTACTATGTAGAAAAAATTAAAATAAGTGTAAGTAAAAATGTCTAAATTTGTCCAATCTGATTTTTGCATCTGACAGTAATATAAGTTTTAGGAAAATCAGTGAAATAAAAAAAATTGGCGACTTTTTGTGACTTTGGATATCAGAGCACTTTTTGTGTAAGTACCTACAATGAGAGTTCATTCCTGCAGTCGCTTCTGTGTGCATTGTTGGAAGACGATACAATGCTTACAGACAGTTGATACAAGTAGTGTGACGAGTGTGCGCGTGGTTACACAACTTTGTGATAGAGAAGACATGTGCGTGTATTGTGTGTGC